AAACTACCCCTCAAATATTACCAAGTTGTATAATAATATCGCCATATTGTTTTTCTCATGCTGACATGAATGTGAGAAAATGTTATCCAGTTTGTATGTTAATGGAAATTCTTGCTTTGCTCTATCATCACCCTTACAAATGATTAATTCGACGCAAACGAAGTCACGGGTACACGCTAGTACTAGATAAATTAATATTGAACCTTGGTCACTTTTATAAGCAAGTTACTCTTTTATTTCAAATGGAACACCCAGTATATTAATCCGATATTCAATAAAGATTTTATGTCTCTTCAAAATACTATTAAAGTTAGGCCTACTAAGGCCTATTCCTCAGACAAATATTTTCCTAGATATTCTAATTTTTGTGATTTGGTGTGATAGTGTTTCAGTGATTTAGTGCATTTATGTCAAAATCTAAAATTTAAAAAAAAATCGTTTAGCCAAACTGACTATCAATTGACATAAAGTTGCACAAATGAGTTTTGATTGCTTTAGTTTCAACCATTTTCTTCATGATTCTCTAGTCTTTTTAGCCGACCATACTAACAGGTATGATAGGCTATTAAGATCGGCAGAAAAAAGTTTTTTTAATTTCACTCAAAATGAGTTATTTGTGTCATAAATGACCTAATTACAAAATATTTTCATGGTGTCTATCTGTCTGTCCGTCTGTCCGTCGGTCTGTCTATCTGTAACACGATAACTCAAAAACCGCTAAACCGATTTTAACCAAATTTGGCACAAAAATACTGTAGCACCCGAGAATCTGGTTATTAGTTTTTGGTGGGGGTGGTGGGTAGGTAAGGGGTATGGGAGGGGGTTAAATTTTTTAAAAAATCGTAACTCCAAAATTACAGTAGATAGCGAAACGCGGTTTTCAATTTAAGATTAGGAATAATATTTGCAACAAAATTTGTAATAACATCAAAATCAGTCAAAGTCGCAGTTTTTGAGATAAAAAAAATGGCGCCGGGAGGCACGTATAGCCGCCCATACTAAAATATGTTAATATCTCGAAAACTGCGACTTTGACTGATTTTGATGTTATTATAAACTAGGTTTTTCCCGCGACTACGTGCGCGTTACACCTCGAATAGTTCATGCATTGATTTAAATGATTTACTTTGTATATAGAGCTAGTGAGCCTTACAAATGCCCTATTTAAATTATGTTTTTCAAAGTTTTAGAGCTACTCGTACTTCATATGAAAGTTCAATCAATTGTCGATTTTCTGGGTATTATACAGGGCAAGTCTTGACTAAGTGCAAATATTTTCAGGGCTGGTAGATCTCGATAAAAAAAACATATTTTCTCTTTACCGTTTTTCAAATAAATCCAAAATAACTGAGTTATTTTACTTTAAAAATTTCCAAAAAACAATATTTTTTGCTTAAATTTTGAGAACCACTGCAGCTTTTCGGGTTTTTCTGTCTTGCAAATTTAATCTACTACCTATCTATGTTGCCATATTTTCACGAAATTATGGTTTTTAACTAAAAACTAAAAAAAATCCAAAAGGTTTTTCAAAAAATTCCAAATTTTCAAAAAAAAATTTCTCGAAAAAACTCATAATCGTGTTTCTGGGGTCAAATATACCTACTACCGCTAAGAATAATTGCACTTATTTAAGACTCGCTCGACAAAAATCGATATTGTTATTTTTGACTTATTACATATTTTTACTTAAAATATATAAAAAGCCGTCAATATTCCAATTTCAAGAGCATTTTTATTCTCTTTAAATATTATTATGTACTTAAGAAAATTCGAAAATTTAAAAACCGTTTTTTATTTTTTCATCGCCTGTATATGACTTTATGACACACTTTGTATACCAAAAATTAAACTTTTGATTAGAGCCGTCTGAAATAAAAAAATCTTAATAATTCTAGAAGTTATCGAAATGAAAGTATTTCAAAGAAGTCCAATTTTGGCCACAAAACGTTTTTGAAATCCTGCTTTTTTAACACTTTTTTTCAGTTTTTTCTAACTACTTCCATTGACTGAAACTAATTATGTATGGTTGGATAGAGGGTGGATGGCGATCTTCCAGGGCGGTTTTTTATTTCTTATTTATATATAGATTATTTTCGAAATCGAACCAAAGTCAATTTCAAAGAAATTTTGCAAAATCTGAAAAAATAAAATCTCTCCAAAAAATAATAAATAGTGAAATGATTATTTACCCTCTATAGATAGAACCCCTACCTATGGTCCCATATAAACTGTATTACTAAAATAAATAGTTTTGAAATATGAAGTTTTCAAATGAATATTTGAAATTTTCAATTGTCGCTTTACTTAATATACTCCCTTGATATTTTTTTCATCTCTTTTTTTGGTTTATTAAGAGCACTAATACTCAATTTATAGTTATTTTTTATTCCTTGAAGGATAATTGAAGAAGAAATATTTCGTTTATATTATTGATGTGTCACTAAATAAACCCTTGTATAAAATTTTATACTGCTAGATGTTATAGTAATGCATTTTCGTACAGCAAACTTTCATTCCCTATTCTACTTACTAAGATTATAAATTTCATAAAATCGCTTTATCCATATAATTAACTCATGTTTTTAAATGATCCTTTGTGCCAATTTTTATGTGTATAATCCAGAGGTCACCAATTTTTATATAAATTTTTACTAACTTTACCCATTTGGTTGATGAATTTCAAAAATATCTTCTAATTCTTTTTGTAGGATTTCATTCTTGTAGACCACATAGTAAGGAATTTTCATACAACAAATTGTTCCGACATAATTTTACTCTCTAAGAGGATGAATTTCCTAAAATCGCTTTGTGTAGCTAATTCACTAATGTCGTTTAAACGAACCTTTGTTCTAATATTTATGTATCTAAAGCTGGCTGTATGAACTGATCCCTAAAATATCTAAAAACTTGATATATAATCTAACTGACAAACCACTGACAATGACAAATAATTTATTTCTGGAGGTATTGTATGTAGGTGTTTTTCAGGTATGTTTTAATATTTAGTCGATTTACACAAAGAAATAGCCATTCAACAATTTAAAAATACTTCATAACAAATCTAGACATATATACCTTTCATTTAAAAAAAGAATCATCAAGATTGGTAGAGCAGTTGAGGCGGGATGGATGTAACAAAAAAAACTTTTGTGCTTTTATATATGTATGGATTTTGTTGCAAATATTATTCCTATTCTTAATTTGAAAACCGCGTTTCGCTAGCTACTGTAATTTTGGAGTTACGATTTTTTAAAATTTTTAACCCACTCCCATACCCCCTCCCATACCCCCTTACCAACCCCCCACCCTCATCAAAAACTAATGGCCAGATTCTCGGGTGCCACAGTTGTGCCAAATTTGGTTAAAATCGGTTCAGCGGTTTTTGAGTTATCGTGTTACAGACGGACAGACGGAGGGACAGACAGACAGACACCATGAAAATATTTTGTATTTAGGTCATTTATGACCCAAGTAACTCATTTTGAGTGAAATTGAAAAAACTTTTTTTTTGCCGACCTTAATAGCCTACCATACCTATTGGTATGGTCTGCTAAAAAAATTAGAAAAATTCTTTTACTTTGAAACTAAAAGAACTGCCTACCAACTTTTAATTAACATATTTTAATATGGGCGGCTATACGTGCCTCCAGGCGCCATTTTTTTTAATTCTAATACAAATTTGATTGTCTTGATTTTAAAATTGAGTGTCTCACCTCAAATGTTCAGTCAACACATTTGTCTATATTGGCGTATGATCGTAATTTTCGTGTAGTAAGTGACGGGCAGCTGCTGGAAGATAGTCAAAAAGGAAAGCGAATTTGGCTAGGTTTCACTCGTAAGCTCCATTGAATGCTAAAATTCACTAGTAAAAGTTTGTTCCAAAATTAGTTGTTGAACTTTTACTAGAGTAGTATTCAGTGAATCAGTGAATGCGGGCTTTTACTTGCAATTGTTAACAATCACTGATTTCGGGCTTGTATTATAACTAGTGTTGCACAAGAGTCTTGAAGAAGTCTTGCAAGACCAAGACTCTTGCAAGAAATTCAAGACAAAACTTTCAAAATTTCTTGTCTTGAATTTCAAGACAAGACAAGACTTTAATATGCAAGAAATTTCAAGAGTCTTGCAAGATTTCTTGAATTCAAGATTTCTTGAAAGTTAAAAATGATACATTTTTTTAAGTGATAATTAGGTCTTTGCGCAAGTTATGCCGGGTTTATACAACATTTACATAGTCGTAATCACAATCATAGTCATAATCATAAAAGTTAAAATATCCACTTCTTATAAACCTGTTGACATCTACCATGAACTTAGCCTTTAATTAAGTTACCTAACTTCACTGATATAAAAATTATAATTATGAAAATGTTCTATAAACGCACATTAAAATTGCGTTGTGATTATGACGATGATTAAGACTGTGATTATGATTACGACTTATACAAATGTTGTATAAACCCGGCATTAATATTGACCCGTGTTCATTTTTTTTTCTATCATAGCCAGTGTTTTAGAGTTGAGAATAAAATGAAATAAAGTCGAGGCAACAAACCGTATATTGGTAATTGGTATTATTTTAGTTAACGCAGCTTTTTAATTCAGCTTTTACGTAGTTCGTTTGCGGTCCGTTAATATTTTTTTTGCTAAAATTAGCATCGTTGTTGTTCATTTTTCCGTATTACATTTTGTATACGACGCTTTCTATGAAATAAAATATAGAAATATTATTGCCTTTTTGTTAGAATGTAAAATTTTTCAAGACAAAAAATTTCAAGAGTCTTGCAAGACAAGACAAGACTTTGCCATTCAAGAAATCTGCAAGACAAGACTTTGAAAATTTCTTGTCTTGAATTTCAAGACAAGACAAGAAATTGAGAGAGATTTTCAAGACAAGAATTCTTGTCTTGTGCAACACTAATTATAACATATACATATAAATTTATGAAGCTGGTGTAAACAACGTAGAGATATTTTAACTTATCATGTTTTTGTTACAGTGTTTTCCAAAGGACAATGCGAAACGAACCGCTACAGATTCTTGGCTAAGACAGGAGGATACGTGTGGGTCGTCACACAAGCCACCCTAATCTACGACAAAGTACACAAGCCTCAAAGCGTCGTCTGCGTAAACTACGTTATAAGGTAAGTGGCTTTTTTGTTTTTTTGAAAAATGGGGCACCGATGCAGAGCACTATCGTACCAAATCATTTATTTTATTTAAAACAAAAATGAAATTTGTTTGAAAACACGTAGAACCTTGAGATAAGATTCTGGCAGAGTAGGCAGAGCCGTCTCTGGATAAAATGAGACCATATTGTACAATACGTATCAATATCTTAATATATAAGGAACTTACAGCCTTCTGTCATTATTATACGGGGTGTTCCTTAGTGACATGCTAATATCTAAGGGAAAAAAATAACTACAGTGTGGTACAATTCTCTATTTTTTTTTCATAATAACACTGATGTTATTAAAGATATATATCTTTATGAAACTTGATACACATTTTCTATGCATCAAAAATGCTTTTTTGATGTACAATTTTATTTATTTAGACCAGTGGCGTCCATACGGATTTTCTATTTAATATTTTTGAAGAAAAAATGGTAATCTCATTCGTTTCTATATAATTTTCATCTCATGAGTGTTGTCATGGATCATTTTAGTAAACATGTGGAATACTAAGTATTTTATTGCCTGAAGAATTAAATATATAATAATACATTTAAATATATTATTATTATTTATTGATAATAAAGTCGCGAAACGTTGCACTATAAATTACTGGGAACAATACACTAATCATAATAAAATGTCTATATTATTATTAGTGCCGTGGTGGTAAATAAAATACTGTTTAAACTTCGAAGGAAAGTTTACATTGCTCGGTATGTAATTAACTATTTTTAAGTTCTACACTTACCGGTACGAGAAACAGACATCTTAAAATTTTAATGTATTTTAAAGTTTAATATATTTTGTTGTAATGGGCCGATTTTGGTAATTTTTATGCAATTTGTAGCTAAATTATTTGACCTTTTAGCTTGTTTTTAAATTAAAAACAAAGTGATGATATTTGGACGAATATTTGAAACATCCTGTTGATTTTTTTTAACGTTATAAGGTATTTAAAAAGCGTTTTATCATCAAGGTACATTTTTTTTGGATAGACTGATGTGTGTTTCATCCCAATAGCTACTAGAGATAGATAAGACACTGAATAAAACAAATAAATCCGTCATTTAGAGCCACCTGGCGGTCCGGAAGAAACTAATTGAAAGTTTTGGCATTGCATAATTTTAGTGTTCCGTTACTTAATAACGGTAACTAATACTGTAACGTCATTGAAGCTCTAAATGATTCCTTGTAAAATAAATAATAATGAGTATATAGTTTTTTTATGTTTTATTAATTCATTAGAAGTGCAACACAGTTGAAACAAAAATAAAATTATGAATACATACATTTTAAACACAACAATAGAGCACATTGTAGCGTTTTTTAAACCACTACCACTGCGAACGGCAGCTTTTCATCGGAGAGCAGTCGTGGATAAGGTATTTCACTAGAGAGAAAATTAATCAGTAATAATTAACAAAAGATATATAGATATTGGGCGCCAGGCATGTACAGAGAAAGAAAACACAGTTGTATAATACTTAAAACTAATGACTATATTTATTCATGACGTTCTTTGCTGATACATGACATTGTAGAGTTCTAGTAAATATATAGTGGTTATATGTCAAAGAAAGTGGTGGTAAGAGTCGTACTAAATATCAATGAAAACAACTACGATAAAATACAGGACATGTAAAGTTTAAGAGAAAATATGAAATGTAGCATTACTTTAATTAATTTGATATATTCCATATGATGCTAAATCGAAGATGTTACAACCTGTAGATTCTAGAATCTATGTTTGATTATCCATCTATTAAAATAGTGCAATAATATCTATAAAAGTAATACCATTACAAGACGTAATGCAATGAAACCTAAGATCTAAATTATATTTTAAAGATTATATCGACATGAATGTTCTTAACAATCTAACCACTGAACATAGTCTGTACGATATTACTTAAGATGTACGTTATTGTTTGAGACTGAAAATGTTTTAGATGTTAAATGTAAAACTAGAACTTAAATATACACTTAGCTGTTCTTTTATGTAACCTTGCTTCAAACAGTAGCAGCGTGAGGTGGTCTAGCATCTCTGTACTGTCTGTCGGCGATCCTGTTGGTCAAAACAACAAAAGGGGCCAGATTGAGGACACCATGAATCCTTACAGCCGTAGCTACTGACTAGGCTTAGAAATGGGAGTGAAGCAGCATGGGACTCAAGCTACATCCACGCTGTGGCACTTAGATGTAAGAAAAAATCGTTCTTACTGTGGACACTCGTCCACAGGACATCTGTACATAAGATAATGTCTGTACATAAGACACTACCCGTACCTTGGAAATAGTCCGTACCTTGGACACAGTCCGTACCTTGGACACAGTCCGTACCTTGGACACAGTCCGTACCTTGGACACAGTCCGTACCTTGGACACAGTCCGTATCTTGGAAATAGTCCGTATCTTGGAAATAGTCCGTACCTTGGACCCTAAAAATATGAAACTCTTGTTTAAAACCAAACAAGGTCTAATAAACAAAATAAACCTACCTCGAAATACTTCTGAGGGCTCACTAAATAATAAAGAATCTGTCCTTCCTTCCATGTGACATTCTGGAGGGCAAAAGAAAAGGGACGCCAACGTGCCAGCAAAATACAATTACAAGTTAGGTTGGGGCATCCGCAACTCTACCCTAAAAATACGCAGTAATAGTAACGAATCTAAAAGGATAATATCTCATCTTTACCTGTAGCTTCGAAATAGCAGCTGATTCAGATTATACAGCAAGATTTAAATAATCACCATTTCTCAAAAACTGGGACTAATGGCGTCTGACAGGCCAAACGTTCAAACCAAAAGTGAAGTTAAATCACAGAGAGTTGACAGAAGCGATGTTGACAGCGCGCGCCTCCACAGAGCGATAACAGGGTTGTGTCAAACGAAAACAGGGTTGTGGACTAGAGAACGTAAAAATTCGTCAAATAAATCATCAGGCCCGAACGATACGGAATCGGGTGACGATATGCCAGACATCATATATTATATATAAAAAAAGACATGTAACGAACTAAAAACGTTACAACATAACACGTATTTTTTAATTTAACAATAAATACATTATAATGTACCTAGTAAAAATAATATAGACTACTAATTAATTGTTACTAAAAATACTATACAGGGTGTCAAAAATTAGTATATGTAACTTCGGTGGGTGATTCCCTACAGATAATATAAATAAAAAGTTCAATAAAACAAAAAGTTCCTATGAACATATGTCCTAAAATGCTTCCTGAAGAAGTTACAGTCCTTGAAAGATTAAATAAAAATAATATATTTTGTTTTTTCCATACCAACTGTTAAAATTGCCTTATATCTATCAAAAATAGTAGATAAAATAGTAGTTTTAACCGCAAGGGTAGATTAACAGCGAGGATAGGTTAAAACTTTATTTCTTCTCGCACGTTTTTTAATTGCTTCCATTTTTGAAAATTTTTGTATTCCTTTTCATAAGTTATTCGGGATTTAAATGGAAGTAGTTTGGATATGGCAGACTGAATTTGTCAGCCTGAATATGTGTTGGTAATTTACTTATTTCGTTTTGAGCCATTTCTGGCTCCAATTCAATCAGCAATCGACACGGAAGAGAATTAAAAAATATTGACTCAAAACTGACAACTAAAGAGACAGCTTTATTTATTTGTCAAATTACATAGAAACCAACGCCAAAAAACTCCCGAAATTAATTCACTCGCGGTTTCATCGCTCGTGAATTAATCTTTTCGGTCGACGATAAAATGCCATTTTATCGTCTTGTATAAAAAAATAACTATTATTTTGAAGAACATTGGTAAACCGTTTTTCTTGAAATTTGGTACTCTTGCACACATTTTAGTGCCAAAGCGAATGGCGAAAGTGTAAAATTTTGTAGCAGCCCTGAAAGGGTAGTTTCCATTAGGGTAGATAGTACTACTGGTGGTACTTCTTTTATACTAATTTCAACAAATGATAATTATAGCTAGTACTTTTTGGGACTCATGGAACCATAGACTTAAAATAAAATATAGACTGAGCATCTCATTCATAAATAGCTGGAACATGCGGTCAGACACTGTCTTGTTATTGTTGTGTTATTGTTTTAGGTTATAACGAGTGCGACACGAGCGATAGATAGGTTGTCTCTGTCGTAACGGTCGTTCCCTGACGACTCTGCCGAGAAACACAACACTGTCTTTCGTTTCTCAAGTACACCTGAACTCTCCGTCTCATAGCCGGGTAATTTTTTTATTTTAATGAAGCTATAATTAAATTAAAAATATATCGTATTTAAACATTTTTATATTTTATTAAGATTTAGGACAGGTTTTTTAAATAAAAGTTTTAGAAAAAACGTCTTAGAGTCCAAAAAGGATAAAAATAATAAAATACACGTTATAGAAGAAATTTTATAATCGAAATTATGTAATTTTTGAAATTAATAATAAATTATTAATTTTAGTCAAACATTTACAACCCCTAATATTAATCAAAACAGGATCTATTCCACAGATATAATAGAGTCGGCGACAGGGAGAGAAAAAAAAATATGATTGTTGTAATGTTTTTTCTGGTTAAGTGATGTCTTATGTAAATTAGAGAAAACATAAATCTGTTCCATTAAAGCAAGGAAGATGATAGGAAGTGGATAAAATGAATACTACATTTATTTAACTCGGTACTGTCTTTATTATACCGGGTGCGTCCCATGAACCCTGGATTGAAATTTAAAATACGATTTGTTTTTAAGCGACAATGTCAAAAGTTGACATATGATATGCCATTCTATTCAGAGTATCATTTTTTATCGAATAAAGTAGCAATATACCGAAGGTGCCTTTAAAAATCAAAAGATGTAATCATTTCCGTGAAACAGGAAGATACCAAAAACAATTGAATACGTCAATAAATCCTAATTTATGTCATATACCTACTAACATACAAATCTGTTTTTTTTATCTGAAAAAATAAAAAAGTTA